GCTGTATAAATAACATTGGATTTAGTTTCATTGACCACCTGCTTAATATTGTCTTGGTCCTCCTTTTGCTTCCAATGTAACAGATCCTGTAAGTCCTGTGAGTTGCGAGGTTGAGCCTTGATGGATCAGACTCTAGCACATCCCACAGATGCCGGATTTGATTGAGAGTTGGGGAATATGGAGGTCAAACCCTCAAATGCATTGTTGTGCTCCTCAAACCGTTGCTCTGTGGCTGGGTGAATTATCCTGCCTACAGACACCACAGCCATCAGGGAGCACCATTTCCATGAGAGCGTGTACATGGTCTGCAACAAGACTTAGACAGGTGGAACGTGTCAAAGTAACATCCAGATTGATGAATTACCCAAAGTTTCGCAGCAGAACATTGTCTAACACATCACACTGCCTATGCTAGCTCGTCTTTTTCCCATGGTGCATCCAGTCAGATGTTCCCCAGGAAATGACGCACAGTATCAAATGTATGTAGACAATATCAAATATTGTCTACATACATTCCAAACCTGGCCGTCTATGTGATGTAAAAGAAAATGTGACTCATCGTATTAGCCTACCTTCTTCCATCGCTCCAATTCTGACGTCATGTGTCCATTGTTGGTGTTTTCAGTGGTGCACAGAGGTCAGCATGAGCACCCTGACTGGTCTGCAGCCACATGTGCAGCACACTGTGATACGCTGTGTATTCTGACATCTTTCTGTCAGAACCAGAATCAACTTTTTTCAGCAATTTGACTTCTAGTATCTCATCTGTTGAGTCAGACCACCAGGGCCAGTCTTCACTGCCCACGAGCATCAGTGAGCCTGTTGCTGGTTGACCACTGTTGACCTTTGGACTACTTTTGATAGATCCTGAACACTGCATACACAGCTTGAGTTGTCTCAAGCCGCTTCATATTGTAAGGTAAAGACGTACAGTATAACAGAGATTTAATTGTCCACTCTGAACAGGAAATGGCAGAATCAGGCTCAGCGAGCGACAGCCATCTACTGCTGCTGGATTTGAGGCAAGAAAATACAAACAAACAACAAGCGGGACAAAAAACTAACTACAGAACAAATACGTGAGTGAAAAGAGGCATGGAGGAGAAAATGCTGACAAATAATTCAATTCAATTTTATTTATATAGCGCCAAATCACAACAAAAGTCACCTCAAGGCGCTTCATAGATACAGAAAAACCCAACAATCATATGACCCCCT